ACACAACCAAGACACGGTACTTAAAGATTAAATTGAATCTAAAAATTAAATGGTGAAACTATCTCTTCATTCTGCATGGCTAAGGAATTTTCAGGATACTTCAGGAAAACAACTGATCTTGATTAGGACATGAGATTTATAACACTATTGGTATATTCATTTACTTTTACCCTTGATGTGTGCATTTAAAAAGAGACTATAGACATGAAACACAACTTTGGTTTGGATTTTTTAAAATTACTTTATGTTCCAGAGTCCTTAGTTGGAAGGTGTAGTGAAGTTTTTAAATATTGTTAGCTTATATTTTTATTTTTGTATTTATTGACATATTTGCCTACTCTGCAGGAAGTTTCTGAGAGTTCAGTCTTTTATTTTAAGAGTCAAATTTTGTCCTTTTAACTCTGAGATTGCTAATTAGCGTAGGTGCTTAAACTGTTTGAGCAGCACCCTTACCTTTTCTTCCAGGCTGCAGAATAGGAAAGTATTTTCCATTTTAAAAATTGTTCCTGGTAGGTGCCTTAGTGGAAGGACGTCTGAAGCCTGTTTGTACTATGACCCTCATATTTGACTGACAGGCTGATTCTGGGCTATCTCTGTATAATTTGTCTGTGTTGAAATCCATGTCTTTCAAGGAAATGAACACAGAATACTTGCACATATGGTTATTCACTTTAAATTGAAAGAGGAATAAATCTGATTTAGGCATTTTAGTAGATGTTTCTTTCCTTCCACAGTTTTGTTCTTGCTATCTCAGATACTGTTTATACTGAATTGATTAATTTGATGTCTTCATTTACACCAATTCTCTGATATTACATCAGGACTAACAAATATCTTGAAGATCAGTTTATATTGCTTACAGAGATATCCACATGGATCTCTTAATGAGCTAATTATCCACAGTCTGTTAGATTAAGTACATTATATGGTATTGCAGGTGTGATTTTATGCAATCTTTTCTGGAGTTTGGGGGAAAGGAAGGGATAGGGTGATTTTCGTAGGTTTGTTTGGGTTGGTTTTTTGGTGTAGTCTTTGGTAATGTATCACATTTTTCCTAAGAAAAAGTCTCTGAACACTGTTGCCATAATTAAGTCTAAGGAAAAAATACCATTTCACTTTCCTAGAAAGAGCAATTTGGCATTTCAAAGGAATGGTTTGGCTAGATTATCTTGAGAGTAAAGTTCACCTGAAAAAGGGACTTGGATTAGATTTTTGATACAAAATGGGAACTTCACAAGACTGCATAGGAACATGACTGCTCCAATTTGTCAAGTTGAAGATCCACTGCTACTGTGGCTGACAAAAACTCTTCCTTATGGAAAGCAGGAGATGGTTTAAAGAAAGAAGCAAAATATCCTGTTTTAAATGGCAGAGAGCAGGAGGGGTAGGGCTGCCATCCCTGCCAATTCAGTTTCTATGCCACAAGCAGAATGTTTGGAGATGATTTTTTTAAAACCTGACTGTCAGCTAATCATCAAACCTACTTCCCATGCACCCTTTTCCACTGAAATAACCATAAGCGACTGGAAATGTAGCTGCAGGGCACCCACTGGCCAACATCCCAGTTGCCTCTGCCATCTGTCTGGAATTCAACCCATTGGACACGGGAGGCTAGCTGGAAAAGAGATTGGTGTCCTCATTCTATGTTGTTTATCATATTATTAACAAACAGTCCTACCATTCTGAAAATGGTAGAAATGGTCCACAGTAAAAGAATCCACAACCAGATCTAAACTTTTCCAAATTTAGCATTGTTCCAACCTGTGGGTTTGATTTAGAGCCAGATGAAATTAACATACACTTAGTAATAACCGTAAAGGCTAACTGAAGATCTGTTTGTGCCAGTAGCAGTAAGCCTTTTACTAAGAGCTGGTCAAGCACCAATTTTCCATGTACAAAATAGTACAATTATTTCTGTTCTGTGATGTTGTATCATTCATTATTTATGAAGCCCCTAAAAATCAGGTGCTTACAAATTTTCCAGGTTTTGTGCTTAGGCTAGCACTAAGTACTCCATGATTGATCAAAATTCAAATAAGAGATGATATGTTGTTTTGCAGAGTATCTCAAAATTGAGAGAATAAACAGCAGAATCTAATTTACTTATGGTGAAGAATAGAGCATGATGAGTAGTCATTTTCTCAAAAAAATTCTGAATATTTCCAAAGTAATGCAATTTTAAGATCATTATGGTTGCCTAGGGTGTGAGTCACTAACTGTAAAATGTGCATCCTATCTAGTAAACATAAATTCTGATAAAGAGATTAATGCTTCATTTTTCTGTGTTGTTGCCATATTAGGCTGCAAAGATTTAGATTACATTGCTTTAAAGTTTCAGCTGTTAATGTTTTTCTAATATGTCACAAAGCAAATTATATGGGAAAGTTTAGAAATGAAAGATGATCTGTCCATAGAGCAAGTCTTAAAGTCAAAAAAAGAAGGCAACATAGTGGACAAAGTTTTTTTGCAAAACACTGACCAGTGCAGTACTCCAACATAGCATACTTTCCTGTAACAAGAGCAAGAGACTAGGCAAAATGTCCTGTTTGTCTTGAATTTTTCAGGATTGCTGTCAAAGAGAGAATGTACAATATTTTACACTATTTACATATAACATCTGTAGAAGGAATGAGATCTTTATTTATGTAGATTAAAACAATAGCCAGTGCAAACTTTCCCTGACAATTGAAAGGCTTCAAATTCACTTACACACTGGATTAGAAAAATTTTTAGGAGTTAAGATACCTGCAGTCCGGCTGCAAAGATTTGAATGGCAGGGTTTTTCAGGTTAAAAAAATTAATTTTTATTTTTATATCTTCATATCTGTGACTTAAAGACCTCCCTGACTTTTTTTCACCGTGTACTCTAATTATTGTATTATAGCTACAAAACTACCATATACATAACCTGAAAAACATCCATGTTCATGGGGTTTTCTGCTTTCATATATACTGTCCCCAAGTACCGCTTAGGACTGATGTATTTCTCTCTTTTGTCTCTTTGAAAATTTTCTGGTAGTATAACTCTGGCAATAATTTTGGTTATATATATTATATTTCTCAGAATGTTCAATTTCTTTGGCCTCATATTTCCTAAAATTGTAGGGATTTTTTTTTTTTAACTGTGCAGTGCACATTACTGCATACTGCACACAAGAAGGACACTGGTTTGGGTGTGAATATCATACCTGCAGGTGCAAATATAATGCTGTCACCTTTTTCCATGGCACTTTTCAAAGAGTTAATAAATTCATCCATGTGGAAATGGCTGCGTGAAGAGTCATTTCTTTTGTTCCCTTCGTCCTTGTTTTTTATAAATCAGTCAGCTGCAAAAACAAGCCTAATATGCAGGTTGGTTTGTTGCCTAATGTTACTTAGCTGGTCTTGGGAAATTTCAATGAAAAATTCAGATTTCTCTGAGTATTTTATGGAGTGTATTGGTATTTCCTCTCTTCTGGAAGTGTTGATTGCCATGAAAGGATCACTTGAGTTTTAACTTTGACAAGCAGAAAATGAGAACCTGCTCAAACAATGTTTTATTACATTGATGGTGATGATGTACAAATGAAAGGATTTGATTTTAGCTGAAACAGCTATAATACATTTATATAATCTGTGTATACCTTTATATAATCTGTGTGTATTATTTGGCTGATCACAGATGAAGTCCATGCCAGTTGTACCATGGAAATCCACCTAGAAATTACAGTTGCTTGTGGATTCATTGTGCGAAGACCAAAATTTTACTTTGAAAACATTTTCCAACAGCAATTGAGAAAGGAGATTACTGCCTGAACATAACTTGCTAGAGAGAGCTATTGTGTATAGATATAATTACAGAGTGATCTAGTATCTTAAAAGTCAAATTCTAATTAAAAGAAAACAGCTTTCATTTGGAAAGGCTGTTCTTCAGTAGAAAGGTTAGAGAACTGATTTGTGAATTGCATCAGAAACTACATGTACATTAGGCAAGATCAGAATGGTATAATTCCCTGATTTTGTGAGAAAGGAACAACCATGGCAAAAATATCAGGAGGTTATAATGAAAAGACTGGGGCAAAGTTCAGTCCACCATCAATAGGGTCATTTTGTTGAAAGTATCAATTGTGGTAGCTAAATATTTCTCTTAAACAGAAATTCTAGCACCAGCTTCAGTGTCAGAAATAACCTTAAAATAGCTGATGTACAGAAATTCAGCTTTAATTCAGCTGAAGTTATACCTTTTCCTTTATCAAAATGAATTCAGCACTTCCAGAAAGAGAGTTTTTTTCAGAAACTTAATTATTTAATTTCAGTGAGGAATGGATGACCACAACTGACTGCCTTATGTTCAGCCTAAAACTGAAAGTGGTAATGTTAGCCAGCAAGTGGAGGAAGTTACATGGATATTGACCTTCCTTTTGTATGAGGGCATATTTATTTCTCTGTGGAAAGGGAGAGCAATCTCAAAGTATTCAGTATTTCTTTTGGCTTCTTTGGTGTATCTGTCTCACCAGGTAAGTCTGAGATTTTATTCTGTTTTACAGATTTGACTAGCGAGAATTCTGATTTAATGCCTTCCAGAGCCGACAGTTAAAAAACCCTCCATCTATTACTGCTGTAGAGTTGCCTAGAAACACTTAGAGCTTCAAAGCTAGAGCAGACCAAAGAGAATTCTTTTCTTGTGTCCAACTCTCTAGTTGCTGTTAAGTCAGTTTGGGATTTAATACATTTCTGATCTGCATCCCTACAGCTCTTTCTGGTAATAACTCTCTCTTTCCAGTGAAATAGGATTTGGCTTTCAGTTTAGTGGGCAGAATTAGCAGGAACAAGATGCTTTCTGTTGAGAGTCCTTGAACATTGGATTCAGTGCAGCTGGAGATCCATCTGAGCTAGTCTTGACTCCTGTAGGGTAGGATAAAAGGCTCACATTTTTGTTCTGCCTTTCCCCATCTTGGATTGCAGGCAGCAACTATTTTGGATACTGCCTTGTTTTGTTCCATTTTTGAAATGAGCTACTACTCCGTAGGGACAGATATTGAACTTTACTTCTGTTCCTAGTAGAAAAATGCTGAAAGACATAAAAAAAAAAGGAACAAGAAGATTAAGAGTAATTTGCAGAAATTTTTTTAGTTTTGCTGTATTTGGAGACTTATTTGTAACATTGGTAAAGGCATGATGCATTCATACACCAGAAAGCATTAAGCTTTTATCACATATGGTTTTTGAACAGTTCAATACTTAAAACCAGAATAAATTCTTCAGGTGTAAATAAAAATCAGGGCCTTCTTTTTGACAGCTGTCCTATTGCTGGCAGTTGTTAAATGTGCATTTTTAACTCTGTCAGGTACAGAGGTTACAGGAAGACTCATCTGGTTGTTGCGAGATTGTCATGGGAGTGTTTTTCTAGTTTATCTCCATATCAGAGAATGATGAAGTTTAGAGTGGAAGCATGATGGAAAGAGAATGATGTCGAAAGAGAAGATTGAAACAATCAATCAAAGAGAGGATGCAATCAAGGCAAGAAGCATTTAGAAACAAAGTTAGGGAGTATTACAGAAAGACATGGATGGAAAGTAGGCAAGGGAAAAGTTATTAGATGAAGGGGGAACATGACGTAGATTATGCAAAAGGCCCTGGGTTTTTGTGTGTTCATGGGCCCAAAAAAACTCTTGCCAGCTTTGATTGTCATCAATAAAACTGCTTCCTCACAATTACCATATGTATCTGGAAGCTAGCCACACTCCTTGTTTAACCACAGTACATGCTTTGGAAATTTCATTTAAATGTCAAAACTGTCTGTTTGAATTGAATTGGTTTCTATTTAACTGTTTGCTTTTATCTAAGTCAACTTCCAGCACCAAAATAACTATGAATTTTTCTAACTTTTAACATCTTCCTCTCCATTTCTTACTTTTTGTGTCAAAGTACATTTCGGTTTTCCTGTGTGATTGCCTCACACGCACATGCACATGCACACTAATGAAAGAGGGGGGAAGGGAGCCTTGAATTTTGTAGTGCTGTGAATTGGCCTGAATTCTGTATTTAAAGTTTAATGGCATAGCTCTGAACTATCACATGTAGGAGGGCAATGGTCCATAAAATGCTCTCTCCAGCTCTCTCTTCAGATCATCTAACTCTGTTGTTCCTGATTACCATGATGTTCCAATGCATGGTTGAAACCGTCTCTGCCTTTCATCTTGTAACCATTATGGGTTCTCTTAGATAGTTATGGAGGGTGGATCAAGTGGGTTAACATTTCTGTGATTCTAAAAACAATATAAAAACAAACAAATAAAAAAATCCCTTAATTGAAAAGATACTTTATCCACTCAGTCAAATTTTGAATGAGTTTGTTAGCCATTCTTCAGCAGCCATAAAATCATCTGTATGAGTCTTACTAGAAGACTTTTCAGTTCATTATCTATTAATAACTGAAAAAAACAGCTGGTGCCAAAGATACACCATATGGCAGATCTTCACTGAAACGAGTGCTTATGGTGATATAATAATGAATGGAAAATGAAGGATTAGTTGATGATATATAGCATAGAAGAGAGGCTTTGAGGGATCACTGTTTGTACAGATCATACAAACAGTTCTGACCTGGCTGTTCAATACAAAGGCAAAGTCTTTCATTTATGCTTACCCTAATGGGTGACTGCAGTTTGGACCAGAAGCAGTTGGGCAGGCAGTTCTGACTAACCTCTTGTCTGTAGAGTAAACTGAATCTCATTGATCCTTCTTGGTTTTGAATACATGGTTCTGCATAATTTAGGAACGCACAGTAAAATAAAATAGGCTTTGTAGTTCGCTTTTTACCACTTTTCTGTTAGAGATTTCTGGCTTCAAGCTTTGCCTTGCCTACTTTAACATCTAACCTTCTTTTCTGCTGGTTCAATTATCTTTCATCAGCTGTGCTTTCACTGTTTCATCGTTCCAATTGTGTCCTCTTCAGCTTTTTGCTCTTTCTTTCAACTCACAGTTTAAAATGTGACACCTTAATATCAAGCCTCTTAAAAGCATAGAGAAAACATGGATGGTTTATCTGATTTTCCTTCTCTATGTGTCTCTGAACCCCTACCATTTGTAGTTCTTCCCTTACCTGTATTCTTTTTCACCATTTTTCTCAACTTAAATATGAAGCAACATTTTTATCTTCTTTCCTTGACGTGTCAAGTATCTGACAGTCCTGTTCTTATCCTTGCTGCCCTTTCCATATTTCCATACTTCTGTAATGTGAATTCCGTTAGCTCTTTACTGGTCTTCGTCATTACTTTGTTCTTCCTCTTCCACGAAAGTCTTCACTGCCACTACTTTGTTCTCCTTCCTAAACTTACCTGATCGTAACTTCCTCTCATCTAGCTATTCTTTCTTGGTGATTATGCAAAGCAATTATCACTCAGACATATTATTATAAATAATGATTTTATTCTTAGAAATATCGCAGAATGCTCACTTCCATGGTGTACGTGAATACGCATATCTCAAGCTCTTTGAAGCCCCAGATCAATTAGTCCAACTTCCTCTTCTTCACAAACAGTCTTTGCCCATATGTGTCCATCTTGAATGCAGCTGCAGGGAATGTTATCCTGCCCATTATTTTCTGCTTTCCTCTTTGTCCAGCATGATGAGTTTGGTCTTTGGTTTCAGAGCTTTTCAAGAGATATCTGTAATTATGCTTCAACCATTCCTTGGCATATTAACAGTAGTAGTGAGTTGTTACATAGAAGCAAGCACCTTCATGCTTTTTTTTCCTGTGACAGTTTTCTTAATTTTCCTCTGTAAAGCTGTCTTTTGATGTACTGCTTGCACATCACTTGATAGCTGTTATCTGTGCCAGTCATTTCCGCATACTGAAATCATGTTATCACGGCACCCACTCTTGTCCTTATCTGTCTTATATTATTTACATGATATGCACCATTTTAGATTTTCACCCACATCTTGAAGCAGCTTTTTTAAAACTTCTTCTATGGAGATTTTTGGATTTGTTTTCAGGTAGAATGATCTACATGTGTTTGTGCTGTAACTGTGACCTGGTGTTTTGCAGCATCTTTGATAGAAAATTCTAGAGCTGTTTGATTGTACAACATTTGGGATAGGAATATGCAATTAATTATTTTCTTCTGAATTCTGCCTTCTGGCATTTTTAGACATTCCTTTTATTTTTAGCTAAGTATCTTTACTTTTTATAAAACTTTACACATTTTGCTACTTTGCTACTTCTCATAAATTTATTTCCTTTTTTTTTTTCATTTCATTCAAGTTAGCATGTCCAATGCAATGGTTTTCTATATAATTCTATCATGTAGCTGTTCAGTATACTTCAGAATTAAGTATTTTGCATGTGTTCAGCTTATTGCGCAAATGATCTACAACTCATTTTTAATGTTTTTGTCTATCTGCCTATAGTCATGTAACATTTTTGTCTGTATAATTTTTCTTACAGACACATTCTTCCATAAGAAGTCTGTAGTAACAGCTTTTGTGTCATTCTCTAGAAGAAACTGTCCCTTAACACTCTGTGAAATCTATACCTTTGTGATGTGTCTGCATGTTTAAATTTTTGTGTTCTTTCAACTGAATCCCTGGCCTCTTATCCTCACCCCAAGCAATCCTTCAGCAACCTTTTCTTTATGAGGTAGAGATAGGTTAAATTGCCTAATTTTTTTTTCTGTTGAACTTCTGTCTCCACCTTCCAGCTTTTTATTCCCTTGGTATAACAGTTCTGAACAGACCTCACTTGTGAGTGTTTTCAAGGTGGCAAATCCTCCCAGCTATATGCAGCAGCTCCCCAGGATGCCCCCGTGTCCTCCACCCTCCCATGTCCATCCAACCTCTCCTTGACAGATTCCCCTGAGTGAGAAGGAATGCTCAGCTAGAAGTTTCCTGCTGTTAAAAATTATGTGGAAGTCTTTTTCCACTTAATTGTCCCAATATTACCATGAGACATGACTGTCTAGATTTATTTCTTACCCCAAGTGTTAATCTGAAGCTAACAGATATTTGTATAATCCTCTGTTTTCTTGACAGATCCTAGCACTTTATTTGGTTGTTTTTCCTCCTCTTCAGCTGTGCAGTAAGTTGCAGCTGAACCTCAGATATATATTTAATCCAAGATACCGCCTGAATCCAGTTCTGTAATTCAAGATGGTGTAGCAGCTCTATATCCTTTCACAGAGCTTCACTAAGCCCTCAAGGAGAAGAGTTCCTGTTTTCTTGTACCATATTTGTATACAGTTTTAAATTTTTATTTTATTTCAGCAATATCTTCCTCACAGTTTTACTTAGATTTTTCCATTTTCAAAAAATTTACGATTTAAGAAAGAAAGATATGAAGTTATAACAGGAATGGAGCTGCCTGTTTTCTGTTTAGGAGCACTGCGTTCCAGCATTCCTGCTGGAAATTCCAGCATTTCCAGATGGAAAAAGCTCTTTGGAAAAGTCTTCTTCCCAGTTTCTTACAAAGTCATTTACATGCCATAACAAAATGTCAACATTAGTGTGAATTTAGGCACCTTTGGGTATCTAAATCATTGGCAGGGTCATATGATATGACAGAGGACTTCCTTAAATCCCACATCTGTCTGGAGCAGCAGCCAAAGTCCAAAGAAAGAGTACACTGGAAATATTAAAATTGTACTAGAAACCATGTATGGGCCGCTGAACTGTTCCCTTACTATACGCCACTGCTTTCTGTGCCCACTTTACAGGGCTGCTCATTTTATCAAGAATTTGAATTTTAATGGCAAATGCTGAGAACAGAGGTTAACTGCATCAATCAAAGGAAGCATCTTGTTTCCTATAAATCAGGCTGGAGGTGCATGACGAACACCAAGGAGAGGCATGTCCTGTTCTTAGGCTTAAGTAACAGATATTTTATATGTCTGTTTCCTGAAAGGTGACATGTACAAGTGTTTGTTGATTCAAACACAATCTTTCTTCAAGGCACTTAACCGCTGATTTGTCTCCAAGGCTGTGAATGTATTTCTCATAGTCTTTATTTCAGTGTCATGGTTTAATCACAGGTGGAAACTCAGCTGCACACAGATATACTCACTCATTCAC